GGGAACAGCCGCTCCGCAGCGACCGGGAGCAAAAACCCGGGTAACGGGTCTCTGCAGGCGGCTTAAAGCACCCCAGGAAGGTGCCCAAGGGAGGATCCTAGCTCGGAGATTTCAGAGGGCAAGAGAAAACCCAGCTAGGGGAAAAACAGCGTCTGGGGGGAACCAGGGAGTGCGGTGGGTGCAGGGCGGTACCGAAAGAACATCCCCTTCTGCTTAAGCAAGGTGACAGTGACAGGTGGTTACCTGTCAGCTAGGCCTAGTCATGTTTCTAGTCTAAAACAGGTAACGGGGGACTTGAGGGGGTGAACCTTTGATAAGGCAGTGATGCTGTGATAAGCCATTTTTGTGGAGACCAGAAGCGCTGTAAACAGGCCAAGAGATGAACTGAGCACACGCAGAAGAAAAATTCAGCTGAAGGGCACAGTGAGAAAAGTTTCTATCATCATCAGATGCCCCCCAAAGATGACCAGTATGCCTGCAAAAAGGGACATTTATATATATTAATGAATTCCTAGAAATGTGATGAATATGTTAATAATTTCTTGTAAAAGAGATGAATATGCATGTTTTGATAGTATAAAGCTCTTGTAGAGGGATATGTTGGTATGCAAAATAGATGGAACAATCCAGCCCCGTCACAAAGAATGGCTGCTTTCTAAAACTCCAAAACAAGTCTTGGAGAGTTTCTTTCAACCGGCTTTTTTTGGTATCAAGGGTCATCTGCTGCTCCAAGATCCCCATGGGAGGCAGCTCCCGCTGACAGATGAGCTCAGGGAGGTGTTACAGACCAGGAGCAAGCCTTTCCTGCAGGATTCAGGTTAGCCGCAGAGAGCCGGCTGGGGTGAAAGCAGGTTCGAGGGCCGCTTGTTCGTTGTCAGAAGCAGAAACGCAGCAGATCTGGGGCAGCGCGTGGTCCCCAACCCTTCCTGGGATGCTCTCTGGGCATCCACCAAATGTCAGCTAGAAATAAGCAGCCGACTCTGTGCTGTGAAAAGCAACAGCAGGACCTCGCTAAAGCAGCAAGGCCATTGATAAAACCCCAAACATGCTCTATGGCAGAGCCACCTCCCCACCCAGCTGCAGAAACACCCAGCACCTGCTCTCCCACGCTGCGGATTTCACAACCCATCCCCACGTAAATCAGTCGCAGATTGCAAATAAGCGCGGTGAGAGCAGGGGGATGGCATCCTGCCCAGCTTCCACACGTTTCAGCCGTCAGCACTCACACTGGTACGTTTAGGAGACACACCGGAGAGGAGGGTTAGATGCTGAAGCAATGGTCTGTTAGTTACAGCTTGTTACAGTTATTATTTACGCAACCGTATTGTAAATGCAAAAGGTGAAGTCACTTAATCCATCATTTCTCAGACATGGATGACAGAGCACGTGATTTGGCATAGTAAGTTTTAGGCTAGCTATAAATCAATTGCACAATATTTAAACCTGATTAAGTACATCATAGGCTCAGCAAAGGGTTCCTTTTCTCCTTACATTTTATACATTTATATATACACACACACACATACACAGACAGGCATTTATCGTTAGCTGCATCTTCATCTTGTCGAGAGATGCCGACTGCAGAACGACTGAAGTGATACCCTTAAAAAGGAAACTACTCTTGGGGTGCTTTGCTGGAAAAGGGGTGATTCTCGTGGGTAGGAGTCACAGACAAGCATCACTGGAGAACTGGAGGGGACAGGGAGCGAGGGACTGGGGACTCGCACAGGTCTGGTTAGCTACAGGCGTGAGCAGTGGCACGCTGAGCTTGTTGCCTGCAGCAGGGAGGAGATATTTGAGCCAAGGGGCCAGATCAGGTTCAGTTTGAGCTGCTTTTCTAGGACTTGGGAGAGAAATTTGGCTTATTTAAAGTGCATTTAGAGTCTGAAAAGCATCTCGAGAAGGAGCTTTCCCTCCTCCTGCCCTACAGCTCCCATTTACGAGCCGATCTTTTCCAGGGTCTGGCCATCACCTCCCCCAACTGCCACAGCCCAAGAGTTGTTAGTCTGAGCTCAGCTGCCTCCTGACAAGATTCAAGATCATTTAAAGCCCGACCTCCCCTAACTGGGCAGGGATTTGGGGCTGGCAGGATTTCTGCACCAGGAAAATACACATCCACATCTCACTCCGCTTTTTAGAAGCACAAGTGAGCCTGAATCCTTCCCACCAGCCTAGAAGTTTCCTAAAGAGCCTTAAATTAAAACTAACAGGGGCAAATCTTGGCCTCGCTATTTACACAGCCAGTGAGAGGCTGTATGTGCTTGCACATGGGGTGGCAAAATTTGACCCAAGAATAGATCCTCTGAGAAACACCCTGCCAATTTTACAGCTGCTTTTCAAAATAGAAGCCTTTAAAATTAAAAAAAAAAACCCAAACAAAACAACAGACTCAGGATGCAGAATCTGGAACGGGACCACTATATCCCGCAGGGAAAACCTGTCCTCACTCCCCAACACACGCGCACACACACACACACAGTGCGCCGGGGCTCCTGCCCACACACGCACGATACTGCTTCCACCTCAAAATGTGAACTACTCATTTACAACACCACACACTGAGAGAAGTTGTAGATCCTGAGCCAGCGTGTAGATTAGGAATCTCTTGGCTTCCAGCTTATCAACAGCAGGATTTAGGGGTTGGGTTTTTTCCCCTCTTTTTTTTTTTTTCTTTTTTAAATGCTAAATCAGCCAGCCACCTTCTAGTTAAAAAGCAAAGGAAAAGGGAGAATTCCCAGGATTGCATGTCCTTGCTAAGACAGTGGCAAGTGGCTGGACACTACCAACTAAAAGAGAACACTCACACACACCAGAAACCTGTGGTTCAGCATATTCCAAGAGGGAAAACGGGTGCTGGTTGTTATTTTTTTCTTTCCCTTTTCAGGGGGGAGGGCTTTTGGCTGATATAGTTCTAACATACACCTATCACCACAGTAATTAAAACCCACCACCATACACTATATCACAAGGAAAAAAAGACACGTGAATGTACACGTACTACCACGCACAACAAGAGCCCTGCAGGTCAACTCACAGCCTCTTCAAAATGAAAAATAGAGAAAAAAGAACTGAAGACAGTAACAGAAAAAAATAAAAAGAAAAAAAAAGAAAAAATCCCAAACAATCCCATTACAAAGAGCAGGAAAAAAAGAACCATTATGGTACACTCCAACTTTCTGAAATAGCTGTGGAAACTCAGCTCAGCCTTCTTCCTCCTCCCTTTCCCCCCTAGATCTTTCGCCCGAGGACAGAGTCCTGCTGCTCACATCTCGTTGGAGTAGGTGTAGTTCGGGGTGGCCGAGTACTGCGTCTCGTGCTGCATCATGGCCCCCTGTGCCGCTCCCATCGCCGCGCTCTGTGCTGCTTGCTGGACGTGGGGGTTCTTCCATGCCCCCGTGGTCCACTCCTCCTGGGCTTTGCTGAAGCTCCCACCACTCCCTCGGTAAAACTTATGCACCTGTAACAAGTTGGAAAGAGAAAATCCAGAGGTGCCGAGTGACTGCAGCTCACGCTGACCCTCCAGGGTAGCAGCAAGGGCTCCCCCCTCTCCTCCCATACCATAGTGAGAGCGATGAAGGAGAAGACTGCCATCACTGTGAACAGCACGGTGGGGATCAGCATCACCACGGCCGACCCCACGTTGGTCCCGAAGAAGGAAATCGCTGCAATCCAGCCACTGCAAAGAGATCGAAACAAGCGGTGTGTCCAGCAGCCTGGGGCTTTCCTGGCTGGCTCTGCACACCACAGCCTGCCTGCACCCCTCCCAGCTCCTCAAACCATCTCCCCCAAAGAGAGAAGCTATGAGGATGTTAAAACACCACAAGGCCACAGCACCAGCTCAACAGCGACTGTCTTTGCACCCAACTCAAGAGCAGCATCTTCCTTACCAGACACCCCAGCCAGGAATTCCCACTGCCTGGATAATGCTGATCACCAGCTGGGCCATGAAGGTGAAGAAGAAGGCCATGAAGCTGAAGGAACTGTCTGTCCTGCAAGAGAAGGCTCAGTCACTCCCTGTGCCGCAAGGGAATGGAGATGCTCCCACATCTCAGACCCCTTCAGGGCAGAAGCAGCCGTGGTTTAGTGAGAGGGTGGTGAGAAGTGGAGCTGCCTGTAAACAGCAGGAACTGAAGCAAAATTAAAGGCAAGGGAGAAAGTGTGAGAGGCTGAAGGTGGTGAAGGGGCACGTGGGAAAGCCATGGGGCATCAGACCCTTCCCATGGCTCAGCCAGCTCTGCACATCAGGCAAGAGGGCATTCGCGTTCGGACACAGCTCTCTGCTCACACTGCCCTGCCATCAGGCTCAACTTTCCTGCACGGGAAAGAAATACACCCCGAGTTTTCTAAGTGTGGGGATACTGCACTGGGGATTGGCCTCAGTAGCATAGAAAAAAACATATAAGCAGCTCGAGGTCTTCTGGAAAAATAGAAAAGAAGCCTCAAGGATAGGCAGGAGGGGAGGAAAAGTTGCCACCCTAACTGCATCCTCACCGCTCCCCCTGATGCTGCACAGGGCCACACATAGGGTGGCTTTACATCACGTGGTTGGGGGTTTGGCCCTCGGGAAACCCCAAACACCCTTGTTGTGAAGGTTAGAAAGTAAAACTAAAGGGCTGGATAGAAAAAGCAGAAATTCCCCCAGATATTCAGGCAATGCCCCAAGCTAAGCTCTAACTGAGCAGGAAGGAAAATTAAAAAAAAAAAAAAAAAAAAAAAGACCACAAGAAGCCGGGCTCAGGTGTGACCACTTACTTGAACGCTTTGTAAATAGGTCTAAACCAGCAGACATAGGAGCAGGGCGTAAAGAGAATGAGCCAGAGAATTGCCAGTCCAAAATTAACAGCTCCACCGCCTCCAATCAGCCATGCGAGGCAGCCAACGAGATTCACCGCCAAGGTGATGCTGTTCACTGCAAACACACACACACACACACACACACAGAGGGAGCAGAGTAGCAAGGACATCCGTGCGATACAAGAGACCCCGACCCCAGGGATGCCCATGCGGGGCTGGCCTTGAGTGGATTTGGCCAGCAGTGTGTTAACCTAGCCAGATTTCCCTCAATTTAACTTCAATGATGCTGGCTGAGTTCGGGGAACATCCCAAGGCTGGCTCAGGTCTAACCTCAGCTGAGGAGCAGGAGGGAAGAAAAAGAAAATATATCACTCAGAGCTGTAATGTCGTAAGCAGATCCAGGGCCCGTGGGGCTCCAGGGATGGGGAACAGCCGTATCCTCCTGCTGCCAGGGAGCTGGGGCACGTTTCCATCAACAGAAGGAAACTGGAGGAATCAAAGTGAAGCTTTTTCCCTTGTCTCTAGCTACAGCTTTGCTGAAGGGACTTGTGCAAGAGCTCCCCGAGCTAACACCCGCCAAGCATCACTGAGAGCTGGAGTCCTGAACTCCTGGCCCCCGCCTTGCCAGTTCAGGGGGCTGGCGTGTTTGCTTCTCCCACCCCGCTTGGGGTGAAGCGATACAAGGGCTGTTACTATGAAGCCCAGCGTAGCAGACACAGGACAAAGCAGAGAAGGCTCATCTGCATTCTGACGCCTCTGATTTTTGAGAATGATTCATTATTCAGACGAGAATTAAAACCCTCCCACAAAAGAACTGCAGCTGTCAAGAAAGGGAGCTCAGTTGGCCGGGCTGACCAGGCGTTCGCTGCTCCCCAAAGTCCCCAAGGACACCAAGGGGACCTTTCAGCCTCTCTTCACTTGTGTCTGCCTGGGTGTTTGCAGGGGAGTCAGGGAGAAAATGATGCAGATAGGAGCTCCAGAGACAGAAACTAAGACAGGCAACTGGATCAGAGAGCTGGTGCTTATGCTGTGGGAGAGGCCGGAGCAAGAACCAAGTTCTGTTAAATTAAACAGAGCAAGAACAGCCAGACTGGGATGGGGAAGTGATTGAACACTCCCAAGACAGCTTCTCCAGGGACACACAACTTTTTTTTTTTTCTTTCCCTCCTTCTTCATAGAAAACCCTCCTGACACGATGGGGGAAGTTATCCCAGGGTCACCTTCCCAATGGGTCACTCCTCAGGGGTGCCAGCCTGATGCTGTGCTGAAAGCAGAAACACCAGGGGTCTCCAGTGCCTGCTCAGCTCCTCATAACCTCCCTCCAAGGCACTGATATGCTTCCAACGTTCAGGGAAAATGCCTGATTAAGGAACTTAAGTTCTTCTAAAAACAAAAAATAAGAATAAAACAATAGTGGCAGCTTGCCCCAAGCTGCACACATAGGTTTCCACGTATGCTGGGGCGCAGTCTGTCCCTCTGGCGCTTCTCCTCACCCAGGGCTGGTAAGGAAGAGAGATCTGGGCTAGTTTTAAGAGTTAGAAGACGGTGACAGCTCTGTTAGCACAGCACGGCACACAGAGGCATGCAAGAGGAGCAGGCAAGACCCCTGTTTTGGGGAGCCGGCACCCTGGCCCTCCAGTCTAAGCAGCATCTCAGCTTCAGGCCACTGCCAAAGGTCTCATGAGGAGCTTGTGGTGGCAGAGAAAGCCCTTTCGCAGCCTAGCTGTCAAAGAAAGGGAGCTGGAGGCTGGAAGGCTGAAAGCCATGAGATGCTGCAGTCTCCATCCCATCCCCAACGGGTTTTAACAGGAGACACCAAGGCCTGGAAGGGCAGAAGGGCTTCCCTGGATCTCGCTCTGCTCTTTCAACCAGTGACTACCAGAGGAGCAGCCTTCAGAGAGGCAAACGCAAACCCACCCCAGCCCTTCCCCGCCCAGCAGCTCACACATCCAGAGGTAGTAAAGCCGCTTGGCCATGGTACGGTGCTGAGGTGGGATCTCCGCATCGAAGTCCTGGTAGAAACATGGCTTCAAGGGGATGAACCTCGGCAGGGGAGGGAAGTTGTTCACTTTTTCTGCAATGAAAAGTTTTGTCAGCATTGGGCACTGCAAGGAGCTGAATGTAAATCAAGAGGCTTCCTAAATAGTCTCCTTCTGCCCCAAGAATTGATGGGTTTCATGTAGGAACTAAGGATTTCCCCTCGCAGCCATCAACAGCCCACTCACATACATTGAGACACACTTAGCCCTCGCCGGCCGCATGAATCCTACAAGATATGGACACACACAAGCCCACTAGGGACTCACAAGCTGATATTATGTCCAGTAATGCCCCAGATGGGCTTCAGAGGCAAGGGACAGCCCCACCAGAGACCCACCCCCATACCTGCCATGCTGGCACGTGCTCAGCTGCTCTGTTCCACAGGAAAAGTGGGGAAAAAGCCTGGGAGCTTTACCGAATCTGGAGGAAAACAAGAGAAAAAGTGACATGAGCTGGTGAGGTACCTCCCTGAAGAGCCTTCACCTTCCCACCGCTTCAAAATAGCTCAAGGACAGCGCTGTAAGAAGGCAGTCTACTTTCTTTACACGGAGACTCTGTAGTGTTCACATGTCCAAGTTTCCTGCCGGCACCTGGCCGGTGGCAGAATAAATCCCAGCTCCTACAGCCCGAGGCTTACACACCAGTTAAGGTGGAAGATTAAGAGAAGATCTAGCAATGTAGGGCAGAGCTCAGGCTTAACCTCCCGCTCTTAACTGACCTACATCCAGCCCCTGGGAGAGGGGCCAGGCTGGATGGGAGGGATACAGCCCCACCAGAGGCAGCTGTGGGCAGTCTGAAATCTTCAAGTTCATTACTTGGCCCCAAAATATTAAAAAAAAAAAAAGATTCAAATTTTGTCAATGTTTCTTTTTGCCAAGAGCTTCTGTTCCAGCACAGGGAACTACCTGATGGCATGGCAGCTCCCAGCACATCCTCTGCATGCCCAAGCTGGAAACCAGGCCAAAAGGCAGTGTGGAAATCAGCTGAAAATATCAGCTGGGAATAAAAAAAATAAATCAGTGGTGATTATCACTAATGAGTCACTTGAGTGCTGGCTCGACAACTAGTCATGTCATTTGGTATCTTGTAGGTGGGAACTCAGCATCCTAGCATGGTCCCAGACCGCACCATGCTCAGCCCTGTCCCAGCAGCGAAAAATAAGGAAAATTAAAGCAAAAATTACAAGCTGAGGTTTTAAATATAAGTGTGAAGACAGCCACTTTGGTGGGGCTTGGGGGGGGGTCTCTTCCAGGACAACCCCCCGTTATGAACATCACCCAGCTCCAAAGACACCAGCCAGGCAAAGCAAACCCCGTGGCTTGCCAACGTGCTGGCTCCCAACATCC